AATATTAAAAAAAATGATGTACTCCAAACCCCTCAAATAGTAACATATAAAAAATTTGAATATAAAAAAATGCCATTTAGCTTCCAATTTGTACATGTTACTCATCACTACAACAATATTCATATATAATATCTTTTGCAAGTACCAAGGCAAAAGAAAATTTTTTCCAATTGCTAACTTGCATACTAGGTATTTGGGAAGATTTTTAACTAAATTCTTACATACAAAGTAAAGCTATTAGCCATGCATATTTGTAGTTTACATTGTGATACTAGAGATTGTGCAGTTAACTTACAAAATACATGTTTTAAAACTCAGTAACAACTGGCTAATGCAAATGGTGTTGGATGTGTTAGTAGTAACCTCATATATCATTACCATGACATAGATTTTTCTGTATAACGTATTTGACCATAAAAATAGTTATATTACTGCAGATATTACAAATTACCTAGGCTGGAAAATATAAACATTTCAAGGATGATTAATTCCTAAAAATAACAAAGTTAAGCAGAGCTTAGAAGTCAACTCGACTCTTTCACAACTAATAAAACATGTCTTCATAGAAAGAATTATATAGTAAAATTTTCTGTAGTAAAAAGTAATTTTGTACTTTAAGCCCCAAAAGCTTCATATCTTATTTTAAGTTAAAAATATATGGATATATTGACATATTAGTATGACTTTAAAAATAAATTGATAAAATGAAAATTAAAGAACAGCATGTAAGTACTAAATATATATGCATCTGATCACTGTTTTGTCCCTACTGTTTTTAAGTAATTTCTTGAACATAATAAAAATTAGATTACCTGGAAAGTCCATGAATATAGAAATACAGATGCAAATACAACTTTAACAAAAGACTTGCATTAATAAAAAGCAGTAATAAAGTGGTTTGGGGAGAATTTTTTAAATCTTATTTTATTCTGTGAAGCTGCTATAAAAATATTGCTCCCTATCACTCATAGTAAGTACCAGTGATCCTGTTTTCTGCCTTTTCAGCTGTGAGTCAGTTTATAAGTGAAGTTTAATTAAGCTTACATGTAGTTAAAGTATCTGAGCACCACGATTATTTCTGAACTCCCAATCCCTTGGGGTTTGTGTGATGTTACCTCCCAGAGACAGATCTCCCAGCCCAAGATCCCACATTGGATCTTGATATTCCTTTACTGCCAATCAGAATGAGACCCAGGTATCTACATTATCCCTGGGTCATTGTTCTCCAGTTTCCTTCTTTTCCCTTGCTCCCAACCGTATCAACAGAATGACAAAAAAGAATCCTTTATTTTCCTGCAACACTACAATGGTATACAGCAAAGAACTAGCCATCTGCTTCAGCTGCTCCTCTTTACTTCTGCCAGGTCTCATTGCATTATAGATAAGGGTTTTATGGCCCCATAGGAAGGGGACACAGTCATGGAAAACAGAAAAAGAGAAATACAGAGGTACACAGAGACACAGAATATGAACAGATAAACACAGAACCAGGGACATTTCCTAATTTAAAAATTGTGTATAGATAGATATGCAATGCTGATGTACTGGTTAATTTTGTTTTCCTATATAAAACATTGACCAGACTTTCTAGGGCAATATGAAGAAGATTATTCAACTAACATAAACATTATCAGGATTAATTCCTTAGCTTAGTTTCTAATTTTATCCATGTGGAGATCATGCAAAAATACATCACTGACAATTACATATGACCAATTAAAAGAGTGGCTTAAGCATTCCTACTTAATGGCAATAATTTTGTTTAGATATTAATAATATTGATAATAATTTTGTTTAATTAGAAATGTCTGGCAAAACTTAAACACTGAGGTTCAAATAGAAAAATATTTCTTTTAATTCCCAGGGTGAGAATAAGAATAATTATGCATTTTCCTTACCTAGTGCTTAGAGATTTATCTCTATTTCAAAGTAAGTAAGGGATGGGGAAAAAATGGAAGGAAGATTTACCAAATACCAAGCACTATGTTATAAGTAATATGTATATTATTCCATCAGTTTCTTAAAATAACCCTGCAAGGAAAAAATAAGCATTCTTACAGATAAAAAAGACTTACAAATTTTTAAGTTACTATAAGGTTCTTGAGGGAAGAAATATGAGTCTATTGTTGACTATATCTTTAGCATCTAGCATAGTTTTCTGGCTCATGGTGGGTGGTAAATCATATTTATTAAATAGTTTACAGAGAAACATGGTTACAGAACTAGTAGGTGGCAGAGCTGGAATTTTATCTCAGGTCTGTCAGATTTAAAAACCCAGTCTGTCTGTCCCAAGAACATAGAAGAGGCAGGTGATCAATGTTTCTGCCTCACCTGCTCCCAAATGACCAGGAAAATAAGATGACATTCTATGTAGAGAGGAATGTCCTTGATAGGAACTGCAAATTTACTGGCAATAAAAAGCCAGGTCCTTGATTTTAAATCCCCTCCGTGTCACTTAACAGCTATGTGACCTAAGTCACTTTATCACTTGGTATTTCAATGTCTTTATCTATAAAAAGACAATGATGATAAGAACAACAATAATAAACACATGCCACTATATTGAGGATTAAGTGAACTAATACATCTAAAGTTTATGGCTATAAAATCAGTAATCATCATTATTATTTGCTCTGGAGATAGGGATAGCAATTTAGGTCATTATTCGGAAAAGTTAATCCCCAATGGTCAGGAGGGCAAAGAAAGCTAGCTGGACATCTCAACAACAGTAGGCAAGGAGATGGCAGCAGAGGATGTTCTGGAAACAAAAGTCCTTCTGTAACTGACATACTTTTTAACTCGGTCATCTAAGGTTTCAAGTTATGCAGTATTCCTTTAAGCGAGGATTGATGGAGACTAAAAATTCCTACCCTACTATATTTCAGCACTTGATCAAAGGTGCATTTCCCTATTTATGAACAAGTTAGGTTCCAAAAGGCTGTTCATAAAGCCGTTCATTGACAAGTCAGTAGTGGTATCACAGAGGCAAAAGAGAAGGCCTTTTATAGAAGGCAGGCAAAACAAACTCACATTTTCTCAGGTGTAAAGTTTTAAAATACCATGGAAGGTAACAAGGGTAAAACTTATAAGTAGAAAGCTTCTATTTTGTTTAGTCCTCTATGGATCTGTCATTTTTGGGGCCCAGTGAATATATAGCAGGTGTCAGTTTTGGTAGATCAGAAATTTCAACTCTGAAAGGGGAATCTATTTCTGCTATTTTTAACCTAACTTCCTCCAACAAGGATAATTTTAAGGTGACCTTAAATGTGAATTGTGTAAGTAAATATATATATATATAAAATAAACTGGGAGGATTGTATGATGAAGGAAATTAATATGTTTGAGCATTTAATATTTGTTGTGTACTATGCTAGATTATTTACATATGCTATTTATTTTATCCTCAAAATAACCTTATGAAGAAAATACTTTTATAACATAAAAAACCTAATTTGAATAACCTTTAAATACATGGATAATTAGAAAAGCATTTCTTTAAAGTAGCATGATTCTTTTACTGTCCCATATCACAAAATGTCATATGTGCCCATGTATAGTATGTTGAATGTACTGTATATAATCAGTATCTGAATTAAAAAATTTTTTTTGACATTTTGACAAATTTACATTGCTTAAAACAAGGTGGTCATATATAAGTAGGATTTTACTCTCATTTTAAAACAATATCCCTACCTTAGATTTCTTAGAACAATATATGTTAAATCAAGGGAAATTAAGAGGAAAACTTTAAAGGAGACAGAAGTTATTTTGCCCAGTTTATAATGACAGCAGAATGCAATTTATGTTGAAACTTAGGACCATTCGCCAAATTTGGAATTGCATCACTGACGAACTACAATGGGTTTCTGTAGTCAATTAAAAACCAAAAGTGAGCTAAAGAGGCTAAAAATTCATTTCAGCTGCTTGCTACACTATAATATTCTGAGACCTCCTAAGCAGTGGCAAATACAGCTGTGTCCCTTTTTCTTTGCTATAATTACCATCAATGTATGAGATAGTGACTATATTATAAGATTTTCATCTTAGTGCAAAATCAATGATAATTAGCAAAAACTTTAGGTTGTGAAAGAGGAACATGCATATAGACGTTACTAGTTTTTAGACAGATTCAGTGAAAATTATACTAAGCTGTACAAAATATAAATGTTTTAATGTATTGAATGACTAAGTTTATAAAATTAGCAATGAGATATCATTTCTAAACTATATTTGTGTTCTAAATATCAAGATGTCAAAATGAACATAGTGAGTACACAAATTCTATTACAAATATATTAGCATGTTTCCATAAAATTACCTTTCTCTAAACATGAAAGCATATGTTCGTATTATTTTGTTGTTAGGTTATTTTGGTTTTTGGTTTGTGTTTTTGCATTCAAAGGTATATTATAATGTAAAAGCATATGTTTGTATTATTTTGTTGTTGGGCTATTTGGGCTTATGGTCTGTTTGTGTTTTTGCATTGAAAGGTATATTATAGAAACGATTTCCCTTTACTGGGGAGGTTATAGTTTGCATTCTGTGTATTAAAGATTGTGCAGAGTAGTAAACACTCAGAAAAAAAATAATTACTTTGGTTGGGAAGGCAGCTATATTTGGTTTCATTCAAATGTTCATACTTACTACATTAAAAATGGTTTTTCAGTACAAATAAATGTAACCCCCAAATTCACAATCAATGATATAATAAATTCAGCTGAATTGTGTAGCATGACAAAAAAACCAAAACATGCAAGGGTTCTTTTAAAAATGCTCTGTGGTTATAAATGCATTTCAATAGGCACTTTAAGAAATCCAACTTACCGCTCTTAATTATTGCAGCTTAAAGTACATATTATGTTCGTTTAACATACTCATATTATTAATATATGGTAAGCAAAAGCTATAAAATCTCAGAGCAAAGATTTCAAAGAAAGGGTTTTGTATAAAAAAGTGACACAACATTAAGCATTACACAAAAATCTACTGAAAGGTCTTACCGTGAACTATTGGTGCTAAAAGCATCATGAAGATTAGAAGCTGTAATGGCCACATGGCTGTGTACTCAGCTGTGAGAGTTCCTCAAGAATGAGTGGTCAAATGCCAAACAAAATAGGTGTATTTCTGGTTTCTCTTCTGTACTCCAAAAATGATAATTTTTTTAAAAAATAAAAAAAGAAAATTTCTCAAAAACAGAAAAAACAATATCCCAAATCTGAAACCTAGAAAAAAAAGAGAAAAAAAAATGGGTTATCAAATGCAAATATCCTTACCTTAATTTCTTCAAAGTTTATTTCCCTCTAAAACATGTTTTCCTTCTCCTTTAATAAATATAAACATCATTTATGAAGTAATCTAAAAGACATTATGTATGCATTTATTACCATAGTGTTTATATCACAACTCCAACCTGAATGAAATAAATAATTCAGTTGCTCTACTGGACAAATTAGCTTAAATATACTGGTTTTAACATGTGTAAAGAGATTTGGGGCTTACTTTGCATAAGCTTTTTCCACAAACACAATTTTCAGTAATGTTAGAATAGTAAGATTCACTATTACCATGAATAAGTTAACTTAAATGTTTATTCAGAAATTATTCTACGTATCAACTACACTACTTTTCTAAGCATCTTTTAAGATCAGTGAATCTCACATATTTTTGTTTATTAAAGATGTTATTCTTTCTGTTTACCTAAAACATTAATACTGAAAACCAAGGCAAGGTATTGCCTAAATCACAATTTATGATTATGAAAGAAAGACCATTATGTCTTAAATAATGTTTCCTTTATGTTATTCAAAACAGTATATGTTTAAACAACCAGCTTATAAATACAAACTAAATTGGAATACAATTCAATCCATTCAAAAGAGGTTTACTGAGCACCCACTGAAATACAAGGCACTGGGCTGAAAACATGGAATAGAATATTGAATAAAACATACAACCTTTCTCCAGGATCTTACAATTTAAGATGAGAAATCTCTCCTGTCAAACTCTAACATTCTGTTCCTTTGTCTTTTTTCCCCCCTCTGTGACCACTGAGTATGAAAGAGTCTATAGTTGGCATCAGAAAGATGTATGTATACACATACACACATATAAATATAAATGTATACATTTCATCACCAGAAAAAATTGAGTCACCATGAAGAATTATTTATTCTTTCAAACACATATACTACATATCTACCATAGTAATTATTGAAAATCACAATTATATAGAACAATTTTTCTCACAACTCATACGACAGTGGAAAAAACAGGCCGTAATAAATGAAGTCAGAAGATAAAAAGGAATTAAACCTTTATTATTTGGTACTTAACACACGATATGCATTGTGCTAGTTATTACTCAAATTTACTAATTTAATTCTCCATATAAATCTATAATACAGATAATATTGTTCCATGTTTACTGAGGAGGAAAATCAGATATGTTACTCAACTAGAATTTCAAGTCCAAATGTTTGAATCCAACATTAATGTTTTTCCTATCTCGAAGGTAGAACTAAACAAGAAAATGTACGCATGTAATTAGGGACATTAATTATGCAAACAAAAGGGATAACGTAGTAAGTTTCCAAAGAAGATACAGGCCTAGTTTAAATATGTTGATTAATTGTGAAGACTGGAGAATCTGAGGCAGCAGTGGAAGGACACAGAGGAGAGAGGAGAAAGACTCTGAAAAGGAAACCAGCCTAACTGGAGTGTTGCATCTTGTGGAGCAGAGAAAATTATTTGCCAAGTGAAATATGAGCATTCCATTGTAGCTTTGGCTTTTGTAAAAACCAGAATAGCTTATTTCGCCAGATACACATTTTTACACTGTTGAAACAATGAGGGAAATTTATTTTAAAGAAAGGATAAGAAAGTACATATCCATTAGTTATTTTTATGTTCAACTATATCCTTAACCTCTTTTTTCATTTCAAAATATTAAGGGAGTACAAATGTTTTTGTTAACATGGGTGGCTTTTATAATGCTTAAGTCAGGGCCATTAGTGTGCCTATCACCCAAATGGTGTTTATTTATCTGTTAGGTAAGTTTATTAATAATGATTTAAAATAGCATAGCAGGACACAGAGCCATGTCTACTGGGACACTGGACATTTTATTTACCCTTGAATTCCTTCTTTTGTCTGATTGTTCTGGTTAGGACTTCCAGCACGACATTGAACAGAAGTGGTGACAGTGGGCAACCTTGTCTGGTTCCAATTCTAAGCAGGAATGCTTCCAATTTTTCCCCATTCATATGATATGGGCTGTGGGTTTGGTGTATATGGCTTTTATAATTTTGAATCCAAATGGGGAAAGAAGTCGTCAAACTACCACCATTTGCTAACAATATGATCTTATATCTAGAAAAAACCCCAAATTCAACCAAGAGACTCCTGGAACTGATAAATAAATTCAGCAAAGTCTCAAGATACAAAATCAATGTACACAAATCAGTAGCTTCCATATATGCAACAACAGTCAAGGTGAGAATCAAATCAAAGACACAATACCTTTCACAATAGCAACAAAGAAAATAAAATACCTAGGAATACATTTAACTAAGGTGAAATAGTTCTCCCTATAGAGGTGAAAGACCTCTATAGGGAGAACTATGAAACACTGAAGAAAGAAAACACAGTGGATGTAAACAAATGGAAAAACATATCATGCTCATGTATCAACAGAATCAACATTGTTAAAATGTCAATACTACCCAAATGTTTTATATATTCAACGCAATCCCCATTAACCACTTTGGTACGAGTGTCAACTATAGTCAAAAGCCACAGATAAACGCGTACAGCAGAGCCTCGACTGTAGCCTACAGCCATGATAAGAAGGCACACAGCCGAGTGTCGACTTTAGGGTTAATAACAAAACTTCTACAACAGTACTCTGAATCGAGGCAAAATACAATCCTTGTACTGCATCAGAAAATCTCATGCGTTTAGAGAAAGACATTTTCCAGCACCTTACAATAGTGATAAAACAAAAAGGAAAAATCCATTTAGAAGATGTATTGTATGCTCAAAAAATAATAAAAGGCGTAGTACTAGATACTATTGTAAACAATGTAATGTTGGCCTATGGGTAGCCCCATGCTTTGAAATTTATCATACCCCAAAGAATGAAATGTATCGTAATATTCAAAAACTTGCCTTATTTATGATATGAATGAAATAAAACTGTAATTTTGAATTGACTTTTCTAATTTTTCATTTATCAAAATAAAATTGTGAACATTTAAAAATAATGTAATAAAAACATATATGTATATGTTACCTACTCTGATTTACATTACAAGTAAAGCTGCCTGTAAAGCAAAACAAGTTTTCAGTGCTTTAAAGTTTTCCTCATCACACAAGAGCAAAACGGATTCATTGTCAATGCACAGCACAAACTATCGTGCAGACTATGGGTGCTGGCTGTGGCCTAGGTTTCAAGGCCGGTGAACGCCATACTGAAGGGGTTAAAATATCAATGTCATTTTTTGCAGATGTAAGAAAAATAGTTCTATGCTTCAAATGGAACCAGAAAACACCCTGCATAGCCAAAGCAAACTTATTAATAAGAACATATTGGGAGGCATCGTTTTACCAGACTCCAAGCTGTACTACAAGGCCATTGTAGCCACAACAGCATGGTACTGGCACAAAAACAGAGACATGGATCTATGTATCATAACAGAGAACCCAGATATGAAACCATCCTCATATTACCATCTGATCTTTGACAAAGCAGACAAAAACATACACTGGGGTAAAGAATCCCCATTCAATAAATGGTGCTGGGGAAATTGGATAGCTACATGTAGAAGACTGAAACAGGATCTGTACCTCTCACAAAAATTAATTCATGATGGATAACAGACTTAAACCTAAGGCATGAAACTTTAAGAATTCTAGAAGAAAACATTGGGAAAATTCTTATAGAGATCAGCCTAGGCAAAGAATTTATGAAGAAGACCCCAAAAGCAATCACAACAACAATAAAAATAAATAAATGGTATCAAATCAAATTAAAAAGTTTATGGACAGCCAAGGACACAATCAGTAAACCAAACAGACAAGCTACAGAATGGGAGAAAGTATTTGCATGCTATACATCCAATTAAGGGCTAACCAGAATCTACAAAGAACTCAAGCAAATCAGTAAAAAAAAAAAAAAATCCAATAACTCCATTAGAAAGTGGGCAAAAGACATGAACAGAAACTTTTCAAATGAGATAGATTAATGGCCAACAAACACAGGGAAAAAATGCTCAATGCCTCTAATCATCGGGGAAATGCAAATCAAAACCACAAGGAAATATCATCTAACTCCAGTCAGAATGGTTTTTATAAAAAAAAAAAAAAAGTTCCCAAACAGATGCTGGCATGGATGCATACAGAAAGGAACACAAACATTGTTGGTGGCACTGCAAACTAGTACCACCTCTATGGAAAGTAGTATGGAAATACCTCAAAGAACTAAACGTAGACCTACCATTTGATCTAGCAATCCCACTATTAGGTATTTACCCGAAAGAAAAAAAAAAAAAGACATATATAAAAAAGCCCCTTGCACTTGAATGCTTATAGCAGCACAATTCACAATTGCAAAGATGTGTAAACAACCCAACTGCCCATCAATACATCAGGAATAATAAAATGTGGTATAGGTATACAATGGAGTACTGCTCAGCCATGAGGAAAAAAAAAAAAGTGATGTAGTATCTTTTGTGACAACTTGGATGGAACTGGATGGAATTCTTCTAACTGAAGTATCACAAGAATGGAAAAACAAACACCACATGTACTCAATCCTAAATTGGAACTAATCGATCAACACTTATGTGCACATATGGAAGTAAAACTCAACGGAAATCAAGTAGGTGGGAGGGGGATGTGGGGATGAGTAAATTCACACCTAACAGATCCAATGCACACTATGTGGGTGAAGGGTACACTTATAACTTTGATTCAAACTATACAAAAGCAAATTGTGTAACCAAAACCTGTGTATCCCTACAATATTCTGAAATAAAAAAAATTTTTTACTTAGGCATAGGAATTTGTTTTCATGATTACTGTGTAAACAAGAGCAAGGAAGATAATTTGGAAGAATGAACAGTATTATTTTAGGAGGACAACATGTTCTCACACACCAGCCTCCCCACCTGCCTCCCTCTCACTCACAGCTCCTAAAAAATGTGCTAATTAGGG